CCCCCCCCCCCCCCCCCCCCGTTGTCTCTTCGTACTCTTTGTTTCCACTTGTGCTGCTTTCTTATTGTTAAAACCCGGCAGGATTTCGCGGACGGAGGGGAGCGCATGCCGTGGCGCCCGTTGCTGCCGAGGCACAAGGCCGGCTCCAGCAGGTAAGCTCTCCTAGTTCGCTTTACGGTGCGCGAAACAGCGGCTGCTTGGCAGGCCCAGCTCCGGCAGCAGCAACATTGGGTCTGTCGCGGGATGCGAAAGCATCATGTATCTGTCAATCCGTCTCAAAGTTCCGGCACATGGAAAAAATCGCAAGAATTCAATAAAATTTGAAGAGCGGGTTACGCAGAAGTGTTTTTTCCTCTGCGAGGGAGATACTCGGTCATTTGTTTTTGTCACGAGAACCCGCATTATTTTAATTTGTTATTGCGTATCGTGCGTGCGGCGTGCGTGCGTGTGTGCGTGCGTGTGTGTGTTTCTTATTCTGACCTTCAAGAGAGCACGTCTTCGAGCTTGGCAAGGGAGAGATCGAGAACCTGGGTCCCATCAGCCACGTCAAGGCAAGGGATACTAAGTAGTTTCAAGCTGCGGAATGTACATACATAGGACATTATATGTGCGCACGTCAAGTCGCGTTGTGCCGAGGTACAGCGGACGCTGTGCCGTGTGCATGCGCGTGCTTCGAGTGTATCCTTTGTCCCTTCGAGGCTGGCGATCACTATTGCTGTCATCGTTCGACGGGTTTCCCTTTGTTTTTGGCACGGGGGAATACACAACGAGGCATTTCTTCGTTTGTTTGAACACCTCAGGGAATCAAAAAGTGTTTGTTGAACGAACGGCTCGATTACAGCGAGCCTAGTGTGCTTCGATTCCACGGTTCTCTCTCCATTTCAACCGGAATGTCCCGATTCGTCCCATCACGTGCCAGTTCGGCGTGCCATTGCGTGTGTTCGTTCTCACCAGGCTCCGTCTCGTTGTCGTCCGTTTGCACGCTCCTCTTTGTCAGCTTTCCATGATGCCCGACGGGGGCGTAATGAGACTCAGGGCCTTCGGGCAACGGGCCCCTAGTTCCCGCCTGTAAACACGAAGCCTTGGCTGGTGGCAAGAGCAATCTGCGACATGGATCTCGCGCTATTTTTCCGATTATTTTTCCCGCGTCTGAGAGAGGAGTTTTGGTCGAAAGCGCCGATGAAGTCCTGTTTATCAAGTACAGGGAAATGTTTGTGACACAATTGTTGGTGATCGTTGGTGGCGAAATTGGGGGGGGGGGGGGTACTCATAG